ATACCATTTTAAAGGATTTTTTACGCTGAAAACATTGGTGGAATCGGATTTTAAATTGGTCAAAAAATTAAGAAGTTAGGGCAAAAAGTTTGAAAAAACGCATTTCGTTGTTATTTCCAATAATTTCCTTCTTTACTAAAGTAAACGTTAGTTGTCTTTATTGTTTACAATCGGTCATTGTTTGTCAAACTCACATTGTGAGAGCAAATTTTAATTCCTGAAAGTAAATAAATTTTACAATAGTTGGTTACAGTCAGTATTCCATTCAAACTGAACCAAAGAGGACATTTTCCGATCAACAGCGAGTTGTACGACTGGTTTACTGACAGTGGTGGTATTATGCGTCGGGCAGTCGAGTTGTACTTGCAGAAATTTCCTGATAGCCCCAGAGTAAATCACAAAACGTTTATTTGGGTTGCTCGCAATATGAGGTGATATGGATCAGTTGTTCTTCCATCACCAAGAAACCGGCAGGGAAATTTCGATGAGGAGCTGAATATTTTACCGTACGTTCGTAAAAATCCGAATTCCGCTCTCCAAAATGTTGGAAGGGTCTTAGGTTTTTAAAAAAGTAAAATTAGAAATACTCCGGACTTACAATTTCAAGCCGTATCGCTTTCATCATGTCCATGGACATCAGTGCTTTGGTTAAGACATGCGACGAACATTCCTTGCATAAATGTTGATTTGGAGGGGGGCTGAAGAAAACATTCTTCCATACATCCCATGGACTGATCCAAGTTCACTTCTAATGGCATAGTAAATCAATTTTTTGAGAGAGGTTTAACACTATTAGTTGATGTCAAAGAATATTCTCCAGCTTGATGGATGCCCCACAGAATTCTGGGCAGGTGAAACGTTATTTGGATCGTCACTTCCGGGATAGGTGGATAGGGCCTCATGGCCCGATCTTTGGCCTCCTCGGTCAAACCATTTAACTCGACTTGACTATTTTCTTTGGGCCATTTAAAACACATTGTCTACGCCAATCATAGCCCAGCAACCTCAGTCGAAGAACTGCGGCAAAGGATAGAAAATGCTTGTCAACTGGGCCTGGGATACCCAGATTTTTTGTTTTTTTGATGGCGTTATTGGTTCAAGAGAAATTCAGCCATCTGGACACCCTGCCGAATCCCTAAGAGCCGAGATTTATAAAATGAGACAATAAAAAGTAAACTCACTTAATGGTTGAGGAAAAAAGTAAAAGGGGAAAAATCTGACGACATTCGACTGGAAACAACCACAAATGTCAATGAGGACGAAATTGACGTAACGATTCGATGAACTGCATAAGAAAGCCTGTTTATCAACCTACAACTACAGACCGGTTTCGTAAAGATAAGCTGAATTTGAAAAGTGTGTCATATATAAAATAAATTTAAAATAATGTTTAAAAAAGTTTTGATAGAAATAGAAATGGTCATGTGGTTCCAGGGATCCTTTATTGGATGAACATGCGGAAATTGCGAAATACAACCGAGGTGATACGCGTTACGGAAACTTATCTAACGAAAAACCTTTTTATTCACATGGATTGTCTTGAATAGAAAGACATTTTAAATTAGTACTGTTTTATCCACGAGCTTCTTTCTTTAAGAAAAAAAAGTTATATAAAACCGGAAATGCAAAAATGGAACTCAACAGTACATTTTAAAAAAAATACTGAGCAGCAGAAACAAATTGTAGATGACGAAATGCGGAAACGCGTTTGACCCAAAATGTACATCGAGAACTAGCGGACCTGGAAAATCAAAGTTCGGACAAACGACCAATCATGTCAGGAAGGCCAGTAAAATTTGACCCAAAAATACTAGAACATTTTGGCTTGGATGAATTCGACGATACGGGAGAAAAAGAAAAAAAAACTGTAATATTTACGAGCTGTTTCAAAACTGGAAATGGTCTAATGGTGAAACATGCCCATATTGCGAAGTGTATGTGATAAGTCCCCACCTAAACGAAATCCTGAAGTAGTCTGTAAACAGGAAGTACAGATGGGGAAAAACGAACAGGACTTTTTAATTTTTTTATGTAACAACAATCCTAGAAATTACCTATGGGGGAATTTTCGTAAATTATTGAAGACCACGCGAAAAATTAAAATAGGCAAACATTATACGCTAAAACCTAAACTAACACCTGTGGAATGTTGAAAACAGGGAAAAAACATAAAAACAATGACAGACGTGTCATCCTTCTACTTTTAAAACTGTTTGCAATTGGTCATTTTGGCTGCTTTTTAATTTGCTCATTTGTCATAAAATCTAATTTCAACAACTTTAGTTTTGAATCTTGTTTTACACGTTTAGTAGAATCAAATCTATAAAACAATTCCATTTAATATAAAGAGGTTTAGCTAAAGTAGGACCTAATATCCTAAGCAAAGGCAACAAATAAAATTGACCTGCGTCATTTCTACGATTTGTCAAAACTATCAACAAGATTAATTAACCCGAATACTGATTACCAAAGAAATTATATATTTTGATACAATCTTCCAAAATGAAATATGTATCCAAATTAAACCGTTAAACCAGACATTTTGTAATTTTAAATTGATGCATTTTGACTCGAAACAATTGCTCACATCACTTATAATCTAGCCTATCTAAGAATAAATCCCTAAGATCCTAACAAAAATCAATAAATAAAGCCAAAATATTTGTTCAAAACCTAGCAGCAGTTCAAAAATTTGAGAATTGATTTCAAACTTGACATCCAATACCTGCGTGAAATTTATTAGTTTTGACGGAAAATATTGGCTCATTTCACCTAGATTCCAGAGTTATCAACATTGTATAGGTCTTCCAAAATAATAAAGCCCTAAATTTTAACACAAGTCAATAAATAAAGAAGTGCCAAAAGATTTGTGCAAAACCTAGCACCAGTTCGAAATTTAAGGACTCATTTTTAATATCATCTGATATTTTGATGCAATCTCCAGTTAAGCAAATAATTTTTTTTATATTTAAGCACTACTGGAAAATTTCTCAATAGTAAACAAATGAATTCGGTATTATAAACTTGCCTGAATTTGATTAGTTTTGGATGAAAATATTGGCTCACTTCAACTTGATTCCAACCTTATTGATTGATCAACTTTCCTTGATCAACTTATTGTATAGGTTTTTTATGTTTTATTACAGAAATTGTACAGTGGCAAACGATAGCATTCAAAATGTTGTTTTTTCAAAAGTGAACAGCCTCAAAATCCTAACCAAAATAATAAATATAGAACTGTCAAAAGATTTATTCAAAATCTAGCAAGAGATCGGAAATTGAGGACTCATTTCAAACAATCAGAAATTTGGTACAATCTTTATTTAGTTAAGCTTCTAGTTTTTAAAAATTTAAACAGCCTTGAAAAATTGTCTTAACAGTAAACAATTGACTTCTGATCTATAGATTCCAGAGTTATCAACATTGCACAGGTTTTACGGTTGTTTTAAAGGAATTCTATAGTGGCGAACGATAACAGTCCAGATGATGTTTTCCAAAAATATACAGCCTCAAAATCCCAACCAATTCAATAAAAGTAGAACTGTCAAAAGATTTCTTCAAAACCTAGCAACAGTTCAAAAATTTGAGGACTCATTTCGAATTTAATCAGATCTTTTGATACAATCTTCATACAGTTAAAGCTTCATTTTTTTCAATTTCAACAACCTCGGAAAATCGTTTGAACAGTAAACAACTTCCGATCTGTTACAAACCTGCCAGAAATTTATTAGCTTGGACTGAACATATTGGCACATTTCAACTAGATTCCAACCTTATCAACAATGCACAGGTTTCTTCTGTTGTTTTACAAAATTTCAACATTGGTACTCGATAACATTCCAAACGATAAGACAGATTTCCAAAAGATTTACCCTCAGATCCTAACAAAAGTCAATAAAAATAGCTGTCGACAGATTTGTTCATAAACTAACTGAAAACGAAACATACCAGCGGTGAAAACATAAGCCTAGCATTTTACATACTTTTTGCCCATTTTAACATAAAATTAAGCCTATCATCATAACATAGTTTATTTTTAATTTCGTCTTAAAAGATTAATAGAACGATAACGACGAACAATTTTTCAAATTAGTGACCCAATTGACCAGAGATTTTCTCACTGATTGACAACAGTTTTGACAAACACCGAGCTTAATTCGATAACTGAACATTTTCAAACCAAAAAATCTATGTTTATAATATAATCATCGTTCTGATCTTCTTGATCGTCATTCTGATCAACAAAACTAACAACGCGATAACTGAGGAGGCATAATTACATAATAGGCATAAGCTTCGAAAATTAAACATAACGCCTCGGACTTATGTTGAAAAGTTAAGCCATGCATTTTGTAAATGTAAACACGTTTGAAAAATCGAAACAGTAAACAAATGACGAATATTGGAGATTGGCCAATCAAGGAAGTGAGTCGGTCAAAAAAGAAAGAGAAAATTTAATGGGAAAATTACGATTTATTTTAATTGAACATCGAACAAGATTTTATACGGATTTTGATGGAAGTTTTTGTTTATATTTGGAATATAGATATAAATCCATGTTTGTCATGGAATTTTCTAATCGCCGATCACCCAGAGTCCATGTTCAGAAGCGGTTTTGCATTTCGTTATCTTCTGTTTTGGTTTTTAGCGAGAACGAGCGGACCGGGACGATAAGAGGCCTTTCAACTGCTCAATAACAAAATTGTTTAGTAATCAATAAAACGATAATTTACAAAACGTGTCGGTATGGTAAACCAAACCCTCAAGGAGTCTTTTGATCCTCGAAGACACAGAAACAGACATTCTTTTAGGTCGGGAAAATTCGAAAAGTAAAGTCGACGAGAGGGAAAGTTAAAAGGAAACTGAAACCTCCTCGAGCCTGTTACATCACCGCCAGGAAAAAATCTGGCACGCTTTTTCGAAAAATGGACGGTTAGAGTATTGAAATGGGAAAAACAAAAGCGCACACACAAGAAGAAGAAAAATGCAACTTTCGATACCTATCTGAGTGGAGAACCTTTCCCAGATACCTTTGAATTTGGACAGGTTGTGCTCGTAGAGCTGTCTCTCTTCGACGGAAAGCCCGGTTTTGGCACGTTTGGTTGTCTCCATGCCTGGGTGGTTGGAGGAAGAAAGAAGAAACTTTTCGAAGAACAGAACGCCGGAGGCCGGATGAGAATTGGAAGAACTCAACAAATGGCAAACGGGGCGCGGAAACGGACTGAAGCCGAGATCATTTTCGAATCGGGGCCCATGGCCAGGTGTGGGACGTGAGCTATCCGAGGGGGACTGAGTTGTGGGCGAGACGCGAGACGGCGAGGGCCGCGGGCGGCCGCGGTGGGGGCGCCGGTCGCTGGTGGGGCGCCGGGCCGGGACGGCAGCCGACGAAGAGACCCGCTTCGCGTTGCCCGCTTTGCATTTTTGACGACAGGGGGCCCCAATACCAACCCTTCCACGTACCGGTACTCGCGAATCGACCCACCGGCTTTTTATAAATTGTTACAATACATATATTAATAATTACATATTATTATATGCAACGATGATCCCACCTGCAGATTATGTAATGAGGAGGATACAGCCACCCATATCATCTTCGAATGCCAAGCAACAGCTCAACCTAACATACGAAAAAAACTTAGGGAATCAAATTGTTGCAGCGACATTCAATGAACTTCTAAGGAGAAGAATTAGAATCTATTGCACTGAACTAAGGAACAAGGAAGGTACAATAAACCAGAAGGCAGCAATAGAGAGCACAAACCCCGCGTCTTTGTATCCTTATTACCATACCATACAATAATATAAATATTTCGGGAATGGACGGAAGTTTCTGTTCTTCTCAATAAAAGCATAGGCCACCCCCACATTTTGCATTCATAAGTCTTTGGAAAAAAATGGCCTTAGGAAATTCAACTATATTGCTGGAGGGGAATACTTTGGTCAAGGCGTGGTGATAAAGGAGTGGTTCTCAAATAATTATGAAAAAATTATAATAAAAAAATTAACAAAGGGAAGTTAAAGGGAAGTTGGTGTCCGAGTGGATTGAAGTCACAATAGCCAAGTGGTAGAGCAGCGGCGTATTTATCCAAGGTCGTGGGTTCGAATCCCGCTCGTGACACTGACTTTTTGACATAACGATTAATTAATTAAAAGAAGTTATTTGGTCAATCGGACAACGAAATATAATGTATTAAATTAGTGAGTTAATATTAACTAGGAGAAAACTCAAGAATAAATAGATTTAAAAGAAAAATAGTCCGAGAATTTTATATTTTAAAACTGAATTTAAAAACAAAGGAAATGACAACATTAGCCCAACGGATAGCGAATGATAATTATGTTGATAACAAGTATAAAGTTATGTTTGGTTGAAAAATAAAACAAGTATGGATAAATAAAAAAAGAATAATGGTCTGCGAATGGTCTTAGTTTAATGGTTGACATACCAATATTTCTTTGGTACTATATTAAATTTAGTTTGGTTAAAAAAATTTAATTCAATCGGTATATCAATATGAATATATGAGATTAAATATTTCATTAAGTTGAGTCAGAAAACAGTGGGAACTCGTAAAAGGATGGTCCGCAAATACTCGCTTTTACAAGTTTTTTTTTTAACTTTATGAAAAGGAAATGGCAACAGTTCAGCCAAAGAGATAACAAATGATAATTTTAAAAAATTGGGTTGAGATGAGTCAAAAGACAAAACAAAGCGAATTTATTAAAAGAATGAAACGTAAATTTTCGCTTTCAAGTTTCATGATTCCTTCACAATTACGTGAGATTGTTTTTTTTCCAGAATAATTATTGTTTCTAATGTATTAAATTAAACAATAGGTTGTTTGGGGCGCCGATGGCCGCAATGATGGGTTGACACGGCGACTCATCACAGTAGAGGTTCGAATCTGGCCTCCCTGAAATCGAAACCCAACGTACTTACAAATGGGCTTTTAAAAAAACCACCGGAACCACGTGGGTTGATGTGTCCACTAACCCACGGTTAGCCATAGGCAGCAAGCGTATAAATATGGTCTGAGAATAACCTAAGAAAATATAAAAACTCGGAACAACGGTCCGCAAAGATTCGCTTTTCGCTTGATATTAATAGGAAACACTTGTCCGGACGATAAAAAACGATAAGATTACGATCAAGGGTCAGAAGATAATGGACATAAAAGATAAATGTATAAAACAATGAACGGCAAAATTTCGCTTTTCAAAATTAAAAAATCGATTATTGCATAATGATAACTAATTATTGATTGAAATGTTACATCAAATATAAAGTTGGGCTTGGACAACAGGAAATTCCAGCGGAGATAAAACATAAATGATTCGGTACGCAAATACTCGCTTTAATCTTCGATTTCCATTTAGGAAAAGGAAATGGCAACAATCCCGCTGAACGGATAACGAATGATTAGAAATTTTTTCGAAAGTAAATCTTAATTTGAGTTTGTTGTGTTGCAGAAGGCATTGAGCAGATAAACCCTAGTACAATACAAATGTGCATAAAAGAATGGTCTGCAACTTTTGGTTTTTGGGTCTGGTCTGACAATAAGCGGTATGGAAATAACATTCCAGCCTGAAGACGAAAGAGCTAGCTATAGTTATAGTAGCTATTATAGCTGTAGTTAGTTAATATAAAGACTTGATGAGATTAAAGACTTAGGTGTTTGGCATGATAAGAATTTAACATTTAGTAACCACATAAACACAATTCAAACTAATGGTATGAAAATGTTGGGATTTGTTGCAAGGAAGTCAGTGGACTTTAACAGTAAGGCAGCCTTAAAAGTATTATATTATTCATATGTGAGACCAATCCTTGAATATGGTTGCGCAGTTTGGGCCCCTATTACAATAAGGCTACTTTGTTTCTGGAACGAGTCCAAAACAGTTCTTAAGAATTGCAACACTTAAATTAAAAATTAAAAGAGAACCTCATAAGTATGGTCCACTTTTGAATGAAATTGGTATCCTCTCTTTGGAAGATAGAAGATTTCTCATTGACTTGCAGTTCCTCCATAACTTGTTGCATTCTAAAGTGGTAGATCCAAGCTGCTTGAATGTGTAATTCGAGAATAATTAAGTCGTTTTGTCCTACGCCTAATCAAACCAAATATATGAAATACATGGCAATAAACAGACTAAACAACTAAACTAATAAACAGACTTCTGGCTGGCGAGGAACCTATATACCTGAAAATCAAGGAAGTAGTGGAAATCTGTGAGGCATATCATAGTCATCATGGGAACACGTGTCCCGACTACCAGACGGACACACACTCTTGCATACAAACACTAGAAGTGATAACTACATCTGATCAAGAAGAAAATCAAAAAGACAATTACTTCAACATATACACAGATGGGAGTAAGACTGACAGGAACTGGGATGTGCAGCAGCTGTTTACGACCGCAACGGTTCACTCATTCAATCGATGAAATACAAATTGGCGGATTGGTGTTCCAATGATCAGGCAGAATTTAGGCATAGAGAAAGCACTGGACTGGATACAGTTTCAGAATGTAAGACCAGGTGATAAATCAGTTGTAATACACATACAGTCAAACATCGCTTAATACACTCAGTCAGAACACCAAATTGACAGGGACTCTTTTAATGTAAAAAACATCTTGAAACACCTAAAAAATGAAGGATGGAGGGTTTCGTTCCGATGGGTTGGGCACACGTTGGTACAGAGGGAAATGAGGAAGCAGATCATCTGGCTAAAGAGGCAGCAGCGGGAAATACTACGGTGATATCTCAAAGATACCAAAGAGCTATGTGGAAGCAATGGCCAAAGATAAGTGCAGAAGAATTTGGAACGAAGAATGGGAAAAAAGCGGTACCGGTTCCACTACAAAACATTACTTCCCTACATTAAAGTCCCCTCTCGCAGCATCCTTTCAAACAAGGCTGCGGAATGATTAAGAGCTACCTTTATAGGTTTAATATAATCGATAACGAGATATGCACGTGTGCTCAGCAAGTCCCTCAAATCTGGGATCATGTTTTCCTGCTCGCATTTTGAAGGACCAAGAAACCGATTTACGAAGGGGGTGCTTTTGGGGGGAGGAGTGTGGCTGCCAAACAAAACCGAATTGGTGACTGACTGTCTACGCGCAGATTTTCAGTGCTTTGTTCGGGGGTGGTTCTGGACATGCTTCTGTGATTCCAAATGCAGATATATGTGATAGTTGATAAATAAAAAATAAAAATAAAAATGTACAAGATAGTAATTCAAACTAAGATAATGCCATCTTAACAAAAATAAGCATTAGAATGAAATGTGCGTAATTAAATGCATAACACTGCTCGTTGTTGCATGTATTCACTTTGTAAGGAACCTGCAGAATAAACTCCCTTCTCCCAGGGTTTACTGGAGGGAGGAAACACACACACACACACACACACACACACACACGCACGCACGCACGCACGCACGCACGCACGCACACACGCACGCACACACACACACACACACANAGAGATAGGAATAGATGGTTTAGATGAAAGAGATTTTGCTAAAACTTCTTTTATATATATCGGCCTGGCAAAACCGCAATTCCATTTTTTATGCCTTAAATTTAAATTAAACTCGTGTGCATAATTTTACTTAATACTCTTTATTTCTCTTCCTTTGCCACTATTCTTCAGAAGGAGAGAAGTTATTAAAAGTCAATTTTCTTGTATTTTTTTCATGTGCAATGAGTCATTCAAGTGCGTCAGTCATACAGTGCAATCCAAAATATTGTTTTTTTTTGTTCAAACACTGGTATCAAAATTTATACTGTATGTCACTACTTTATTATTGTCAATGTTTAATATTTCAATGTTTTTCATGTTTTAAATATTCTTTGCATTTCATGTACGTATTGTATTAATATGGGCTATTGCCCATAAATAAATAAATATCACATATCAGGGAGAGGATGGTCAAAAATCAAGAAAATGGCCCGCATTTTTTTTTTTTTTGCTTTCGTTTCAAAAATTCCATTTTGTCAGAAGAAAACAAAGGAATAAATAAATTTAAGGTGATTATTGTCCACTCAGGCAAACGGATAATGATCATATGTCATATGTCGCCTATGCTGAGTAAATATAAAAATAAAAAAGTAAAGAGAAAAAATATTTCTTATAATGGGCTATTTCACCACTTAATGTGGACTTATGTACGTCACATGTTTCCTGCAGACCGCATAGGAAAACACTGTGATTGTAGTTTCCGGATTCACAAGTTCATAAGGATCGGCTGTATCAAGGGTGAATATGACCCTCCGAAGAGTTG